GGGGTAGCAGGGGCGGTCCCGGAGTTTGGAACCGAGGTCACCGGGAGCCCAGGCAGCCTAGGCCCACCGCCTCGCGCTTGACAGGTGGGGGTGGCTGGAGCGCGCAGGGAAGGAGAGGGCCCACGGAATTGGAGCACTCCACCCCCGCACCCCGCCGGCCCTGGGAGGTTGGACACCTGGCGGCACGACCCCAGGCCAGCAGTTGTGGGGCCGGGACCGTTGCCTCTCCTCTCTGGGCCCTCGGTCCCCGCCCCCTCCCCAAGTCCCTAGGCTGGAATCTCACAGCCTTGGTCCTTTTGACCTAAAATCACCCCGGGCCGCAGACGCTAGCTGTGCGTGCAGCGAGGTGCCTTCGCCGGCATCCTCCGCCTGACTGAGGACGCGGGGATGCCGGGCGCAGCCCCGCTCAACACTGGGTCTGGATGCTTGGGTTGCCGCCCGCTCCAGCCTTGACCTTTCCCTGACTCCCCAGCTCCTGCACTGCCTAGTTTGGGAAGTAGGGCGTTTTCTCATCTTTGCCAGCCATCCTGGCTGCTCTCAGTTGGTGCTGAAGAAGATGCACCCCAGCCCTTCCTATGTCCCCCCATAAGGTTGGGGCAGGGGGGGTGGAGTTCAGGTGGGCGGAAACTCAGTGTGTCAGCAAGAGAGGGGCATGCTGACCTCAGGGTGGGACATGCAGTGTCCATCTCCTTAGAGGCAACTTTTGCCTTCCTCAGCCTGGTAGTCCCCACAGTCCGAGGGGTAGAAACTTCTTGTGCCCTAGAGTTGGGCCATCAGTTCCTACTCCCCTCTCCTGGCTGTGCTTGCCCTCCAGTGAAGAAGAGGGTAGCTCTGTGTCCCCACAGGCATCCTTGTTCCCAGGGGAAGGCAGGGCCGTAGGAAGGGGGGGGGGGGGCTTTGGGAGAGTTAGACCCCTTCTCCAAGCCACCCCGCAAAAACATGCAATTTAAGAATAAACAGTGTATATACTATGCAAATGCAGCCTCTTACTGAGCCCGAACCCTCCATTTAGATAGCTCTCATAAACGCTTTCTATACAGAAAGCAGCCATTTGCAGAGAGCACACGACACATTTTTAAATAAAAAACTGCCACCATTTGATGGGCTCCTAAGTACGGTGCTGTGTGTTATTTGCATGATCTCATTTAATGTCTAAAAATATCCTATGAGGCTTGAGCTTTTTATCCCCATTGTAGAGATGAGAAGATTGAGGCTTGAGATCATCCTGCAGTGTTGCTAGGAGTTAGCCCCATTTACAGAGGGGCTCAGAGAGGTTAAGTAACTTGCCCAGGGTCACACAGTGAACCCAGATATGTCAGGTCCTCGAGCCTTTGTACTTGATCACCTGTTCTAGAGCAGGGACTCTTGCCAGGCCACCCTCAGCTTCTAGATTTGTTTACCAAACCAGCCTGTGAGGACACAGATCCAAGCAGGCCTGGCGGTGATGCTGATCAGCGTAGGCTTGTCTTTTTCCCCCAGGTTGTTAATGGTCTGGTAGCCAAATATATTTACTTATAACTGCAGGTCTCATCAGGGTGGTCCCAACTTCCCGGCCAGTGTTTAGGAAAGTGTGGGGCGACTTTTGGTTTCAAAATGACGCTGAGCACGCCTGGCTTTGGGGAGGAGCCAGGGATGCCAAATGTCCTCCAGGCAGGCCAGATCTTTGGCAGACATGAAGAATTGCTCTGTTTTAGACACCAGGAGTACCCCTGTTGAGGAATTGCTGGAGGAATAAGGGTTGTGGGAATGAAGGGAGCAGAGGGCAGTGGGGGTTCTGGAGAAATCCCTCTGCCTGGTGTCAGTCCAGGAGGCTCCTTGAAGGAGGTGTCATTTGTGCAGAGTCTTGAAGAATGGGCTAAAGAGTGGAGTTTTGGATGGGAGGAGGAAGAGAATAGGACAGCATGACCTGGCCCCTAGGAAAACTTTCTGCAGTCTCCTTCATGGGCTGGTGGGTGGGGAGGCACCTCCCCCAGGAGGAAGGGATGGATGGGCCAGGTGGGGTGGGCCACGCCTATTTTCTTGGCATTTGAACTCACATTTTAACATGGACCACAGAGTTTCCTGTATCCCCCCACGAACCCATTTCATGGAGGGGTTCAGTGAGGCTCAGTAATTTGTTTGGGGGTCACTGGTGACCGTCTCCCTGGCATGCCTTCCTCTTGTGGCTATGGGTAGCATATGGTTCCCATTTCCCTTCCCGATCCTGGAGATTTGGGGCAAACGCTATTTCAGATTTTCCTTTGGGTCAGAGGGCCTTGTATTGCTATTTCTTTGCAGATGTTTTGCTTTCCCAATAGCTCCTCTCTTTGGACCGGGTTAGAGAGGCCTGACTCCACAGGCTGCAGGAGTCTTTGCCTGCGTTTCTGTGCCTTCATTCCTGGAAGTTGGGGGAAAATTTCCTTATGGAATGGGCTTTCCTTCTTTTGGGCTGTGCTAGTTACCCCACTGACCTGATAATAATATGGGGCCTTTTGTGTCTGGGTTCTTTCATGGAATATTTTCAAGGTTCCTACAAGCCGTAGAATATATCAGTGCTTTCTTTTTATGGCTGAGTAATACTCCTGTGGGTGGATGGACCACATTTTGTTTCACCATCGGTTTTTTTCTACCATGAGGGCTTTTTAAGGCCACTTTATTCCTCTGCCTCTGCAGCCCCCAATTAATAAGCCTCTGGGCATATGACATTATTTTGTCATTCCATTTGCAGGGAGAGGGTGATAGAAGAAAGATTCTCTGAAATCAATTGGGGATCAGCTTCCTGGAACCAGGTTTTGGGGACTACCTTAATTTCATCCCCACCTACTCTTCCTCAGGAATCCTAGCTCCCTTCTAAGCCCATCACCCCCCCGGGGGCAGTGCACAAGTATTACATAAGTATGATTTTTAGGGAGTCCTTTTTAAAAAAATTTCCGTTTATTGATTTCGGAGAGTTAGGGAAAGGAGGTGAGAGATACAAACAGCAAAGATGAGCGAGAATCATTGATCAGCTGCCCCCTGCACGCCCCCTACTGGGGATGGAGCCCACAACCCGGGCATGTACCCTGATCGGGAATTGAACCTCCACCTCCTGGATCATAAGTCAGTGCTCAACCACTGAGCCATGTCAGCCAAGCTTCAGGGAGTCTCTGTCATTTAGGTCCATTCTTTTCAGTCACCACGATAGGTCTAGTGTAGGCCCCCAAGTAATTTCACTGGTGTATATTCTGGGACACTTTTTCCAGGTAAGTAAATACACAAAGTAAAGAAAGATCTGGGGCAAACGCTATTTCAGATTTTCCTTTGGTCGACCGTGCCCTAACTCAGTGGCCAGGGGTGGAGCCACCTCAGTCTCTCTTGATGCCCATTCACGCAGCTGAGCATCCTGAAAACTGAACTGGAGAAGCCCAGAAAAGACCAGCCCCCCCACTCCTCCCACTTTGGGGGGCCTTAACTATGGGCCAGGCTGTATGCTGGGCACTTTCATATAGAACAGGGGTGGGGAACCTTTTTTCTGTCAGGGGCCATTTGGATATTTATAACGTCATTTGCGGGTCATACAAAATTATCAACTTAAAACTTAGTCTGTTATATTTGGTCAACATTTATTTATTTATTTTTCATGTGCCATATTGTTTTTATTTTATTTTTATTTTTTTTTAATTGTTTTATTGCTTAAAGTCTTACAAAGGGTAAGACATATGTCTCCTTTTTCCCCCCGCCCTTGACAATCCCCTGGTTGGTCAAACATTTAATTAACTCACCCCTCATGCCTGGGCAGGGCCAGACCAAATGATTTGCGGGGCCGGACGTTCCCCACGCCTGATATAGAAGATCGACTGGACAGCTACCCTCAAGGTAGGCCGCATTAGCTCCATTTTACAGATGAGAAAATCAAGACTCAGGTCCCTGGAGATCTGTATGGTTTCCTGACAGGCTCTCTTGACCTCGTCGTGCTGGCAAAGGTTGCCCATTTTCTCACAGAGTGGACGTCGCCTCCTCCAGGAGGTTATGCATAGAAATAATTTCCGAACGGTTTTGCTCTCTGAAAAAATAAGAGTTTGAACGAGTAGTTTTTTCCTTTGTCCCTGATTGGATCCCTTCCTCAACAAATGAAAGAAACATAAAAAGGAATATTTAAAAGGAGGTGCGTGGGTGAGTCTTCGAAGGGAAGACGCACCCCCAGCTCTGGCATTCCCTGCTGGGTGATGTTAATGACCAAAATGAGGAAGGAATGATTTTCGCCACTGACGTTTTCCGTTTCAACGCGTTTGTGTTTGTAGTGTTGCCGATGAATTTTTTTTTTTTGATTCAATGATGAAACATTTTAAGCACAGAGAAAAGCCAAAGTTTTGTGTTGTTGCCTGGCTTGTGTTTTTGGAAGGCTGGAAGGAGGCCCAGTAGTTGATGGAAAGAGGGCAGAACGGGGTCCTGGCGCTGAAGCTCTGGTGCGCTTCCACCGAGCCAACCAGCACTTCTGGGGGCTGGTGACAAGCTCTGCCCTGGGGACTGAGGAAGGTGGGGGCTTGGTCTCTGTCCCCACGGAGCTCCCAGGTGAGTGGTCTGAACTCCTGGGGAGTGCTTTGGAAGAGAGAAAGGAGTCTAGCGTTTTCCATTTTGAAAAGGAAAGAAAATCCCAAGAGTCTGTGGTGCCCCCACCTCCACCCCACCCCACCCTGAAAGCTGTTGGGAAACTATTTTTATGTTGTCTGTTTTTATCCTGTTGGCTTCTGTAAATAGTGGCGAGATGGCAGTGGGAGAGAGAAACATGCTAATTGCAAAATTTAAGGGGAGAGAAGGACTGTCCCCTAAGGACATGAGACATGGGGGCGCTGGGAGGCCAGAGTCTTTGTGGCTGGGACACAGGTAGGCAGCAAGCCGGCAGGAAGGGGCATTGTGGGTGGTGCCTGAGATAAGCCCGAGTTTAAATGGGGAACCGGTGGTTTGAGTGGGGGGCAGGGTGTTGGGGGAAGGACGCCTCCCTTATGCTTCCTTAAAGGTACTTGGGGGTTTTACCTTCAGTACCTCTGGCGGGAATTTTCACTTAGATTCATCCCAGAGAGCTCTCCCCCCTTTTAGGTCCAGGTGTGGAGGACAGGGTTCTGGACCCCAGCCCCGCTCCCAGCCCCCCTTTGCCCCTGGCTGGGGTTGCTTTGTGCTGGAGGCTGGGGAAGGAGAGAGGAGAAGCTAGATTGAACATCGCCCCCAAAAGCAGGGAAGAGGGAGGGAGGAGGGCCATGGGTGGGCAGCGTGGCGATGCCTGTGGATTTCTGTGGCTTCTGAGTTGGCCCCCTCTGTCTCTGATTTGCTAAGCTGCAGCCTGTTAGAGTCGAAGTCTTTTTCTTCTCATTACAAATTGCAATTCCAGTTTCGCTGCCTCTTGTTTTGGGCCAGTGAAAGATTGGGAGGGATTCAATGAGAGAAGAGGAAGGGAGGAAGGGAGGAAGGGAAGGAGGGAAGGAAGGAGGGAGATAGTTCCTACCTCCCTTTTCCAAATACCCGCACCGGACATTCATACTTCCTCACTCTTCAAGGCCACCAGTACACACCTGTCTTTAGATTCCTGGCTGCTTGATTGGGGTCCCTCTCCGTGGTGCTTTATCATTGACTGGACAGTAGCTGCCTAGCAACTCCTAAGACAGCTGACCTTCTTGCTCCGTAAACATCCAGGGCTGCAGGGAACTAGGGCTTCAGGGGTCAGGACGCCTGGTTCTTGTTCTGGCCCAGCCCGGAACCTGCTCAGCTGCCTCGGAGAGGTCATTTCACCTTCCTGGGTCGCAGCAACCCCATCTGCAGCCCTGGCGTGCTGATCCTGAAAGCTGAGAGAGCGTGCAGATTGTTATGACACAAACGAGCAAGGATGCGCAATGATACTGTAATTGCATGAATTTTATGAGAACGCGATGTCTGTGGACAACAGAGGGGAAGATGAAGAGTTAAGTTAGTACGGTGGGATTAGAGATAAAACATTTTTGTTGTCATACAAATGAAAACCAATTGAGGGGCTTGAACTTGATAGCCACTGAAGTGCTTTCTTGGCAACAGCTTCCATTTGGGGAGCGTATACTGTGTGCAGGGGCCTGTGTCCGGGTGAGGTGGGTATTGTCCCCAAGGTCACATGACTAAGAAGAGGGGTTCTGCTGAGCCTGGTCACATAGTTCTACCTCTGTAGGAGCCTTTGATTTCTCCCAAAGCACTGTGTGATTGTGGGCCAGTCACTCAGACTCTCTGTGCCATCACCCGTGAAATAGGCGTGATACAGTACCTAACTCGTAAAGTTGTTGTGATGATTAAATGAGATGATACATGCAGAGCGCTTAGAATAGCACCTGGCACTTGGCAAGCACTCAGGAAGCCTAGCCATGACTCTTACTGCATCCACCACTACCATAGCAGCTGCTACAGTGGTGCAGTTCTTGTGTTGGAAAGTGCTGGTTAGTTTCTTCTCTTCACTCTGTCCTGTTCATCCGTCCTTCCCCATCCTTGATTTAAATTTATTTATTTATTTTTTAAGATTAAAGAGAGAGACAGAGGAAGAGAGAGAGAGAGACTTCGGAATTACTGGTTGAGGTGAACGCTGTCTTGTAGCTGCCTGGCAGTTTGGCCTGGGTGGGAGCCTTAAGGTGTAGAGAACTGATTGATCATCTGGCAGGGAGCTTAGTAAAGAAGTTTTGTTTAAAAGAGAGAGAGAGAGAGAGAGAGAAGGAAGGGAGGGAGGAAAGGGAAAAAAAGGTGTTTTAATCCTCATCCAAGGATATGTTTTCTTATTGATTTTAGAGTGAGAGGAAGGGAGAGAGGGAGAGAACCGTGTATGTGAGAGAGAAACATCGATTGGTTGCCTCCCCTACGGGGGATTGAACCTGCAGCCTTAGGTATATGGGATAATGCAGCAGCCAACTGAGCCACCTGGCCAGGGTGTGAGGAAGCTTTTCTGTCAATCCTTCCTGTGTCATCTGTCAGTCAGGATACTTGGTTGTAAGTGACAGAAAACGGATCCCAAACTAACCTACGCAAAAATGGGAGTTTATTGAGTCATGTAGTTACAAACTCCTGTGGTATATGGGCTTCAGGTGTGGCTGGATCCAGGTACCCAAACAGTTATCTCTTATCTCAGTTCTCCTCTATCTGTTGCCTCTCTTCCCTCTCAGTCAACTTCATTCTAAGGCCAGGTTCCCCTCAACCCCTGAAACTCTAGAAGAATATCCTCATTGCGCTAAGTTCCACAGAAAGAGACATTCTTATTTTTTTAAATTAATATTTCTACAAAAACCTTAAAATTAGACTTGGTAGACTGACTTGGATCACACACCTACTCTTGAATCAATCACTTGGCCAGAGCAGTTGATGCCCAGTTGACCAGGCTTGAGTCATACAGGAACTACTGAAGCTGATGGGGCAGACAGCTCCAGGGAGTAACCTTTCACACGGAAGGATGGGTTTCCAGACAGAAACCAGGCCACTGTTATCAGACTAAAGGCGCATAGGCCAGCTAAAGAAAGCTTCTGGCTTTCTGAGTGGCCTTGGGATGCATGAAACAAACAATGACCTCTAGCCAATATTTATTGGGTGCCAATAATCATCTAGGGAGTTTTAGAACATGGAGTTCATCAATAAACAAGGGAGGCAAAGCCACAGATCTCCTCAGATCACTGTCTCCATGCCCAGACCCTGTGCATTGCTTTCTGAGCACCGTGAGACGCGGCGCCTTGGCCCTCTCCCCTCACGCAGGCCGTGGTCTCAGGAAGGCAGAAGACTGGGCTCCCCGGAATGAGAGATTTGGGCCCAGCCTGGTCAGAGTATGTGGACATTGCAAGACTGCACCAATAATTTTCAGTCCCTTCCTAGAGAACTCAGATCAGTTTTAGCTCTGCCTAGTACCTCTGTGTGACTTTGGGCAAGTCATTAAACTTTCTGGGCCTTCATTTTCTCTTGGGTGAGATGAAATGGTTGGAGCAGGTGACCACGGATCCCTGGTCTGGGAGGCAACTAATCAATATCTCTTTCACATAGATGTTTCTCTCTCTCTGTCCCTCTCCCTCTCCTTTCCTCTATCTCTAAAATCAATTTTTAAAAAAATATATTTTATTGATTTTTCACAGAGAGGATGGGAGAGGGATGGAGAGTTAGAAACATCAATGAGAGAGAAACATTCATCAGCTGCCTCCTGCACACCCCCTACTGGGGATGTGCCTGCAACCAAGGTATACGCCCTTAGCCAGAATCGAACCCGGGACCCCTCAGTCCGTAGGCCGACGCTCTAGCCACTGAGCCAAACCGGTCAGGGTTAAAATCAATTTTTTAAAAAAAGAAAGTATGTCTGTTTTGTTTGTCCAGCACATAGTCGGTTCTCAATAATTACTTGATGAAAGAACCTATAGGTGAGTGAGTTTTCTTTAGGGCCTCCCTGGGCCTCAGTTTCCCCACATGAGAGAGGATATGGCTAACCATGCCTGCTATCCCAGGAAGGGTGTCATCCCTGGCTTTGGGGACCCTGCACTGTGTGTGTGTGTGTGTGTGTGTGTGTGTGTGTGTGTGTCTCTCCCGGCAAGACCTTGGCACCCTCACTGGCTGCTTGCTGTGTTGTGGCTCCCGTGGAGGCCTCTGCATTCGGTGAACAGGTGCAGGTTGGAAACAGCCTCCAGGAAATGGGACAGTGCTTCCTGGCAGAGGAAGGAGCGCTTCCCTTTATCCTGGCCCTGAGCCTGGGTTCATCTGCTCCAGGGAGAGTCCGGTTGCTCAATTGTGCTGCCCTGTGAGCAGGCAGGGGAGCTTGGGGCTGGCGGCCAAGGGCGGTGGGGAAGGCCTTCGGGGCTGAGGGAGGGACCCGGGGTTGGGGCAGGAGGCTCAGGGGAGAAGCC